GGAAGGCAACCCCCCCCCCCCCCCCCACACACACACACCCTTGGTACCTATCTGACTGTGGGGTAAAATTTCTTCCTGACCCCAAATATGGCATCAGTCTGACCCTGAGCAGAGGGGTTGAGACCCTTTAGGTAGGAATCTCCTGCTTTGGTCCCAGCAGGAGCATTGGTACAGCCCAGTCAAAGTCTCCCACCTTGGCTGTAGCCAATCCTCAATGCCTCTGAGGAAAGCTTAAAAACACCCTAACACATGGAGTAGAAAGGGGGAATGGGGGCAACCAGCAAAGCCCAGAAGCCTGGGGAATACCATAGTAGTCTTCCTCAATGACTTTCAGTGGGAATTCTTGTTCAGCTCCTGAGGGGAGGGTTCAATTCCCCCTGTTCCCCTCCAGGCAGAGGTGCCACTAATTTCCAACTTTCTATGCCCTTTAGGGAGAGATGACTGACTTCTTGGAAGACTGGGGCTCTGGCTCCATATCCACCAACCAGACCCAGCCTGCACTCACCTCTACCTCCAATGGGACCTTGGTGACTTTCCAGGGTTTGGAGCTGGTGCAGAAGCTGAAGGCACTGATCATCTTGCTGTATACGGCCGTGGTGGTGGTGGGCATGCTGGGGAACTGCTTGCTGGTCCATGTCATTGTGCGGGTGAAGAAGATGCACAATGTCACCAACTTCCTCATTGGGAACCTGGCTCTGTCTGATGTGGCCATGTGCACCACCTGCATTCCACTCACCTTGGCCTATGTCTTTGAGCCCCATGGCTGGATCTTCGGCAGCACCACATGCTACTTTGTCTACTTCATGCAGCCTGTCACTGTCTATGTCTCTGTCTTCACTCTGGCCACCATCGCCATGGACCGGTACATTGTCATTGTCCACCCGCTAAGGCGCCGCATCTCACTACAGCTTACTGCCTACATAGTGCTCTTCATCTGGATACTCTCTGGCTGCTTGGCACTCCCAGCCATGGCCCATACCTACTATGTGGAGCTGAGCCAGCAGGGGATCACCTTGTGTGAGGAGTTCTGGGGGAAGCAGGAGAGCCAGCGGCAGACTTATGCCCTCTGCCTGCTGCTCATTACTTACCTCTGCCCCTTGCTGGCAATCCTGGTCTCCTACACCAAGATCTCCCTCAAGCTTAAGAACAGGGTCATGCCAGGCACTGTCACCCAGAGCCAGGCTGACTGGGACAGAGCCAGGCGCCGGAGGACCTTCTGCCTACTGGTCATGGTGGTGGTGGTCTTTGGGGTGTGTTGGCTGCCTTTGCATACTTTCAACCTCATCCGGGACATCAACATCAATGCCATCGATGCCTATTATTTCAGTCTGGTCCAGCTGCTGTGCCACTGGTTTGCCATGAGCTCTGCCTGCTACAACCCCTTCATCTATGCCTGGCTGCATGATAGCTTCAGGGAGGAGCTAAAGACGTTACTTGTTTGGCAGAGGAAGGTAGCTCCCTACGGACAAAGTGTGACTGTCAGTGTTGTTATCTGACCAGCTGCCCTGAACCTTCTTACAGGGTCTTGGGGTTTCAGTGAGCTACTGAAGGGCATTTGGTTTCTTAAGCTGCAAATGAAAACAGTGAGACATAAGAATCAAGTGCATCCAACCCTGGACAAAGCACACCCTGCCTGACTCTACTTTGAAATCTGTGGTGACCACTCCCATTTAGAGGCCATGGGTCTCTGCAAGGAGTGTACATGAATTGTGTACTCCATAGGCTGTTTCTCTGCAAGCACTGGTCTGGAATAGGGAAGTCTGGGACAGTGCATATGGGAGGCATGAATCCACGTTAAGTTTAGCTCCATAAAAACACATCATAAACATGCATAGAGATTTCCATTGAAAATTAGCAGGAAGTATTTCACTTGAAAGGAGGCAAGGGACATCTCTGCTTCATGTTAGGAAAAAACATCCCCTGAAAGAAGATTCAGCGCATAAGAACACAACCTGCACAACTCTGGTACTTGCTGTGTTAATGCAACTTCTATTGCAGATGCTTGGCACATCTTGGAACTTAGCATATACTAAGAGTAATGAGGCATGTTGATATAGATTTCCAAATGGGAAACAAAAAATAAACAAGAGATGCTAGTGGTCAATATTTTCCCTATTTTGTGGAGCTAGATTCCTTCACAATATTCAGGATTATATTTTGTGTTCCTGGTGTCTCCTTTTAAAAAAAAATTGTACCATTGTGGCTATCACAGCTCAGAAGCTTAGGAAAACCTTGCCATGTGTCAGAAGGTAAAAAAGAAAAGGCCAAGGAAGAAAGGGAACACTGCACTGCTATTCACTTTTGTACCAAACGTTGTCTTCAATGGAATTCCCTTACTGTGGCAGTGGGGGAGGGACAAGCCACCCTATATAAAACTTTTTACAGACTAGTTTCTGCAGATAGATGTACAGTGTGACCCAGATACACAAGGATGGGACACATACTTCATTCTATATATTAGATACCTGACTAGGAACAGTGGAGTAGGGAGTGACAAATGGCATGTACAAGATGAATAGTATGAATACAAGAGCCATTAAAGTGAAGACGTGGCAAAAGCAGAGAGAAATGCTTTTATTTGAGGTTAGCTCATTCTCCCAAGAAGTGTACAGACATACATATAAAGCTTCTCACTAAAGCAGCTTTTCCTCTTGACCAGCTGCTGAAATTACATTGCATCTTACAACCACCCATATCAACAGAGGTCTTGCTCCCCAGTTGTCTAGATTTTTATCAGGTCGTTTTTCACCTTAGTGTCAGATCATCTATGGTGTTGGCTATAATCACCTAGAAAAAAAGGCAGCATGAGGAAATTGTGAATGAATGAATGTGCAAGGGCTTGGAAGATGCAAAAAAAAAAAAAAAAAAAAA